ACTGTTCACAAGATATAATTAAAACAAATATCTGTGTTTTATGTCGTCACTGTTCACAAGATATAATTAAAACAAATATCTATGTTTTATGTCGTCACTGTTCACAAGATATAATTAAAACAAATATCTATGTTTTATGTCGTCACTGTTCACAAGATATAATTAAAACAAATATCTATCTTTTATGTCGTCACTGTTCACAAGATATAGTTCTATTTTTCTTTGGAAACTGATTCTTTATAACAAGCTATGAATTATGGCTAATGAGGATGCGTTTTAAAATAGGAGTAAAACTCTTTAAAAATGTAAATCAACAATTACATTTTCTAACAAATTTGGTATCTGCACTAAATCGGTGATAGAATTATATTTTCTAAAGCAAAATTTCTTCTTTCAGTACGGACTATATCACCGATTTAGTGCAGATACCAAATTTGTTAGAAAATCTAATTGTATCACCGATTTAGTGCAGATACCAAATTTGTTAGAAAATCTAATTGTATCACCGATTTAGTGCAGATACCAAATTTGTTAGAAAATCTAATTGTATCACCGATTTAGTGCAGATACCAAATGTGTTCTTTTTTGTTATTGTTATATATTAGAATGAGCTGTTAGTTATGCTGACTCTAAGGATAATCAAAATTTGTGTCACGTGATAGCTCTACTAAGACAACGCCTACAGGAGTCTCTTCTTATTTCTATTATGCGGTTTCTATACTTGCATACAAAATAGCCACTTTCAGAAACATTTGAAGTATCCTAAAACGTTTTTCTTGAAATCTAATTTAATATTCACTTTATAAAAACTGGTTGAGTTGTCTTCCTTGTATTTTTAGTTTCGCCTTTGTTTTCGAATATTGTTTGTTTGTTTGTTTGAAGTTATGCACAAAACTACACAATGGGCTATCTGTGCTCTGCCCACCACGGGTATCGAAACCCAGTTTCTAGCGTTGTAAGTCCGCAGACATACCGCTGTGCCACTGGGGGGCTCGAATATTGTTAAATTATTCTAAAAAAGCACGTTACTTATACTTAACATATTTCACATACTATACACTTTATAACTACTGACCCAGTTGTCTATTTTGTACTTATTAATTTTGCTTTATTTTCGGTTCCCTGGCGGATCAGCGGTACGTTACGGCCCTACAATGCAAAAATCCGAATTCGATTCCCGCGGTGAACAGAAAGTATATAGCCACTTTTGTAGCTTTGCGCTAAAACAAGAAAGCGTTCTTTTCGAATATTCAATAAACTTTTCCAAATTTCTAGCCCCTCGTCCTCCTTTTATTGTACCCCCAAGGGGCACAGCGGTATGTCTGCGGACTTACAAAGCCAGAAACCGGGTTTCGATGCATGTTGTGTAGCTTTGTGCTTAACTTCAAACAAACAAAGAAACCTTGTCTTGGCCTTTTAGGCTGAAAGATTAAATTCCAGAAAACCCCTTCAGAGAAGCGACAGCTGTGTAACCATGCATTTATATCTTTTTATAATATTATATCATTTATTCTGAATTTGTTCTTTGTTTGGTATATGTGCAGGTCGAGAAAGTTGATAGGTTGATTTCACTCTAATTGGTCTCTAGAACCGGTTGTACAATACCTGGTTCTCAGTTTAAATGCTCTGGCCCTATACTACATCAAGCTCTTGAATGAGGAGGCTTAAATACTCTGGCCTTAAACTACATCATGCACTTGAATGAGGAGGCATAAATGCTCTAGCCCTAGACTACATCAAGCGCTTGAATGAGTAGGTTCAAATGTTCTGATCCTAGACAACATCAAACACTTGATTGAGGAGACTTAAATGCTCTGGTCCTGGACTACGTCAAACTTTTGAATGAGGAGGCATAAATACTCTGGCCCTAGACTACATCAAGTACATGATTGAGATGGTTTAAATGCTCTGGCCCTAGACTACATCCCGCAGTTGAATGAGGAGCTTTAAATGCTCTGGCCCTAGACTACATCCCGCAGTTGATTGAGGAGCTTTAAATGCTCTGGCCCTAGACTACATCCCGCAGTTGTTGGAGGAGGTTTAAATGCTCTG